CCCCCCCCCCCCTGAGCAATTTCCTATTCCCTCCCTCGTACCAGTTCCTCACAGGCCACATAAGAGCCCTGAATGGGCTGGTTCTGGCCCCCGGGCCTTAAGTTTGACACCCTTGCTTAAGGCTCCCCTGGGCCAGGCCCGGCAGCAATCAGAGCCAGGCCACTTGATACCTGACCCCCTTGCATGACTCACCCAGGACTGGCTACTTGCTACTGTTCAGCACTGCAAAACCCAGTGTTGGTATAGTGATCAGAGTTTCAAGCTAGGATCTGGGAGACTTAGATTCAAAGCAAATTGCTCTGGAAGCAAACTGGGTGACTTGGGGCAAATCACGCACACAGCCTCACCTATCTCACAGGGTTGTTAGGATAAGCTGAAGAACTGCGTAAGCTGCTTTGAACCACTATTGGGAAGGAAAGTGGAGTATAAGGCAAATAAATTATCAGTATAGTTGAACGTGGGCAGCATGTTAAAAGATCGGTTGTGGGGTACTGGAGAAGGAAACATGGAAAGTGGAACGGGGGGGGGGGAACTGCCAGATGGAGACAAACAGTACAGGGAGGGGAATACTGGGGAAAATAAGGGTCTCCCCACACGTCCTTGAAGGTTCTCCTTCTCCTGCAGAGTGCAGGGGGTTGGACTAGATGACCTGCAAGGTCCCTTCCAACTCTAACATTCTATGATTCCCTACTGTGTAACTGGGCACAGTCCAGCTTCTTGTTGTTCAGTTGCATAGTCAAGTTCCATGGACCACATCACGCCAGGCCCTCCTGTCCTCCGTCATCCTCCGGAGTTTGCTCAACTTCATGTTCGTTGCATCGACGACACTGTCTAACCATCTCATCCTTTGCCGTCCCCTTCTCCTTTTTCCTTCAACCTTTCCCAGCCTCAGGGTCTTCTCCAGTGAGGGCTCCCTTCTCATTTGGTGGCCAAAGTATTTGAGCTTCAGCTTCAGTATCTGGCCTTCCAGGGAACCGTCAGGGTTGATTTCCTTTAGGATTGACTGATTTGGTCTCCTTGCAGTCCAGGGGACACTCAAGAGTCTTCTCCAGCATGCAACAGGACCTGCCCTAATGGCTGGGCTGGCTCAGCATAACTTGACAAGGCTTTTCCCGGGTAGAGGATTTGAAAAAGGGAAGGAGGGAAAGGTGAAGACGGGAGGCAAATAAAGGCAGATCGGTTGGTGGGTGGGAACGAGAGGAGACTGAGAACTGTGAGGATATGAGGGCTGCCAGGAAGGAAGAGGGAATAGCATGGGATAAGCGGTGCAGTGGAAGATGAGGAGGCCCTCCCCCAAAGCTGTGCCAAACATGAAAGCAATAGGAATATGCTGGACGACGCCACCTCCAGACTCCCCCGCCATGTCCTTTTTGCATTGGAAGCTACGGTTCTCGGTGGAAAGCAGAACTAATCAAAAATAAAGCTAGGCACCTCAATATTGGCCACCCATTTCAGGATGATGGCGGGACCCGCAGTGCCAAAAACGAAGGGGGTTGAACCATCCTGGCACAAATTAGCTCTATGACGACATCCCTCTGCTATTTGCAATGGAAGCAAATGTTTACGCATGAGGAGACAAGAACGTGCCACATCATAGCCAGGGAGAGTGGGGAAAATACCTCCCCTCTACAAAATAAACAGGATTTAGCATCCTCTCAGAGCTATCAGATCCAGTATGGTGCAGTGGTTAACCGTTACGAGTGCCCTGACCATGATCACGGGAGCAGCAGTGTCAAAAAGGAAGGGAATCACAACATCCTGGCCCAGGTTATCCCTGTGCTGTTTCAGATGGAAGCAAAGGTTTACTTGAAATCATCAGAAAATATATGAGTACAGTGAGCCACGGAGCTGCGGTGGCTCGAGTGGTTAAGACGCTGAACTGCAGGCTGTGGAAGGTCGGTAGTTCAGCAGTTCGAGACCCGGGTGTGCCGCATGACGGAGTGAGCTCCCGTCTCTAGTTCCAGCTCCTGCCAACCTAGCAGTTCGAAAGCAAGAAATTGCAAGTAGATAATTAGGTACCACTTCGGTGGGAAGGTAACAGCGTTCCCTGCGCCTTGGCGTTTAGTCATGCCGGCCACATGACCACGGAAACGTCTTCGGACAGCGCTGGCTCTTCGGCTTGGAAACTGAGATGAGCACCGCAACCCTAGAGTCGGATTCGACTGGCTTTCGAGCAAGGGAACCTTTTTACAGTGAGCCATGGGGCTGGCGAGCACAGAAAACAGGTCACACCTAGAGAAAATGAACAAATGCCTGCTAGGCATAATGACTGAAGGGAACCTCCATATTCAGAGGCAGTGAACCCCAAAATACCAGTGCCAGGAGGCAGCATCCAGGGAAGGTCATGGCCTCCATGCCCTCTTTGTGTGACTCTCCAGGGCAGCTGGTTGGCCACTGTCTGAAACAGGATGCTGTTCTCGTTCTTCCAAACTTCTGGAGAGAGATTCCCTAAACTGCAGAATACAGAGAAGAGATCCCACCCGTTTGTCTAGTCTTCACTAATTTTTCTTAGATCAGCTGAGGTACAGGGTACGTGGGCATGGTCCGTGCCTGGCTTGGCTCCCACTAGGACCTGCTCTGAACTGGCTACGAAAGAGCAGAACGTTACGAGGGAGAGCACTTCTGCCTCCCGAATCCCCACTCCTCACCTGCTACCTGGCTGGAGCGTCTCTTGCCTGGCTTCTCTCCCCCCACCTACCAGCCTCCTCACAGTTGACTCTCATGTTCTCCTCCACCAAGATTTTGCCTGGAACTTTGCATCAAGCCCAGCTGATTCCACTCCAAGGGGTGGTGCCTCGGGAGGGCTGCAGACGCAGGCCATCCCAGCCCTGCAACGGAAGGTCCTCCTCTCTAAACCCCCTTTTCCAAGTGCCATGGCCTTTTGAGATGCAGATCATAAAACTCCGCCACTGGGCAAGGGACATTTCTCTAGCCTAGTCAGATCAATGATACCTTCCGTCCTTTCCTCCCATCAGCCTCAATCAGTCAGACAAATAACTGTGGGAGGGCCACTCTGCATCAAAACACAAAGGCAGGAGGCGAAAAGATGAGCCACGGGGATTTCCTAGCAGGAACCTGACTGAATATTGTGCATCTCTCCCAATCAGAGCCCTCTTTATTAACAGGTTTCTCTTTAGAGCATGAACATATTCTTTCTTTTGCAGGGGCTTTAGGATCCTCAAGTGTGAGAGATCCATTCTTTCCTCTGAGGCAAATGAAAGTGTGCCCTGAAAACAAAAAGGGCCAAAGGAAGACTCCACTGTTGGATGTTAATATCCAGCAGTCAGATCATGAGGATCTAAGTGACAGCAGGCAAGCTGCTGATAACAGGTCCTGACCGGTTGAGACCTGATAAGGGATGAGGTCAGTGACAATGACTCAGCACGTAGCTGATTGGACAATTGATGTATATAAGTGGACAAGTACTGCTCTGTACGTTCTCTTCTCTTGGATATGGTGTTTGGCGGAGCAGTTTGTCAGTGGATTGTATATATTGTAAATAAATCTGTACATAGTTTACCACAGGACTGTCTTGGGGTGGTGCTGTACAGAACCTCCTCTGCAGTGAGTGCTGGTGAGAGCTGGAGTGCTGAAGTGACTGGAAAAGTGCTGGTGGCTGGTGGTGCTGGGAAGCTTCCTTACACGCACTGTGCAACAGCCACCCCCTCCCTTTTCTTCTGTGATCATTTACAGAAGGAGAAAGATCCTTACCCAGAGAGGTCACGGTCTCATAATTTTCCTCCATAACATCCCAGTAGAGTTTTCTTTGGTCCGGATCCAGCAGAGCCCACTCCTCCTCCGTGAAGGTTACGGCCACCTCCTCAAAGGACACTGGGGGTCTCTGAAAGAGGAAAATAGGGCCCATTTGATCGTCTATTGGTGTCCTGGACCATTCAAGAAAGAAAGAAGAATTCCACTGGCCAGTCAACTGAATAAAGAATGCTATATCTAACCAACAGCAAGGAAAATTGCACTGGTTTCTTTTTCAACCTCTGAGAAGCATAATACCCTGAAAGTCTCCAAGAAACATAAACTCAGACCATTGCAAAGAAATGGGCTTCTCTCGGTCAACACCAATTAAATCTGAAAAAAACAGATTGTCTAGCTGACATTATACTACCTTGCATGTTAAAACCCCAGAAATACACAGAAATTGTGCTTTGAGAGGTTTCTGCTTTAACCATTTTTGTCTGCAGAGGCATTCTTTGGCCCCGGTCACAAGGCAAAGTTGCCACATGAGAGGCACGGGAGTCCCGTGGATTTTCCGGACGCAATGTCACCCCAACATCTGGGAAGCGCAGTGCTCCCGTGGCGAACCCGTGGCTCCCCGCCGAAGGTGCGGAGTTAAAAACTAGTACCTACAAGGTACTAGTTTCCTGAAACCGCGGGCCAAGGGCGGGCGTGTGATCGCGTTCCCGGTGGACTTACGTGGCATCTGCTGCCCGCCGCTGTTCGTCTCCGCAGGTTGCGCAACAGCGCCCAACAGCGCATGCGCACAAAGAGCGATTGCTAGTGCGATCGCACGGCGCGGCTTCTGTGCCGCACTGCAGGATACCCGTCTGATCGGCATTTCCCCCGAACCACGGGACCTTGACCGGGACGTGTGCTCGGGCAGCCACGCGTTAGTTTCCTCCGGGGCAATTAGCCCCCCCCCCCCGCGATATCCGGCCCGTGTGACCGGGGCCTTAGTTACTCTAAAACATGCATCCAGCTCTGTAAACATGGACTGCTCACATTAAAATCAATGTGTCTTTTGTTCTGTTTTTAACCTAACAAACCCCAAGATGATTCACCCCAGGCCATGTGATCCTTGGGGCTTGATGGGTGAGAGATGCAGGCACAAAACACCCAGTACAAACCTGCTGCCTCAGAGACCTTTCCATATTATATGTGCGTTGTGGAATGACGGCAACATACCCTTCAATTGCAAGTAAGTTACTGCATCATCTGAACAAATTTTATACTAGAAACACCTTAAGGCAAAGATAAACAAGTGTGCGTGTGTATAAGTGCCATTAAGTCACTTCCACGTTATGGAGACCCGATGAATTAATGTCCTCCAGGGCTATTTTTGGGCAGGAATGCACAGGAACGGAGTTCCGGTTGGCTCCTGAGTTGGCCACACCCAGCAGGAACTCATTAGCATAATAGGCCACACCCAACAGCAGAAACTCATTAGAATTGGCTACATTAGGGGTGTGTGGCCTAACATGCAAAGGAGTTCCTGCTACAAAAAAAGCCCTAGGTTTTGACAACAAACAAGGTAAACAGAATAAGACCCAACCATGAGGAACTGTATTAAAGGGTTGCGGCATTAGGAAGGTTGAGAACCTCAGCACTGAGGCATGTAAATGGTAGTGATTACACTGTGGTAGACGTTTAGATATAATATATACTGAACCGTTTTTACTGATATTTATTGTATTTATAGTTAAACTGTTTTATATGAAGTGCTCGGGTTTTATGTATACTGGTTTTATTGATGTTGTCAACCGCCCTGATCCACTTAGGCGGGAGGGCGAGATAAAAGTCGAACAAATAAATAAATAAATAAAATAACAAAGTAAGGACATGGCAACCCTATGTTACTTATAGCTTTCAGTGCTCTTTTTGTAGAAAAAGCCCAGCAGGAACTCATTAGCATAATAGGCCACACCCAACAACAGAAACTCATTAGCATATCCAGCCACACCCGACAGCATCGCTCATTAGCATATTAGGCCACACACCCCACGTTACCAGAAGTATGGTCATCCAGCCACACCCACCTTTTGCTTCTTATTCTGTTTACCTTGTTTGTTGTCAAAACCCAGGGCCTTTTTTTGTAGCAGGAACTCCTTTGCATGTTACGCCACACACCCCTAATGTAGCCAATCCTAATGAGTTTCTGCTGTTGGGTGTGGCCTGTTATGCTAATGCGTTCCTGCTGGGCGTGGCCAACTCGGGAGCCAGCCGGAACTCCGTTCCTGTGCGTTCCTGCCCAAAAATAGCCCTGGTGAAAATAAAGATGTAATTTGTTTCCTATTCAAGTTCACAGACCCCCCTGAAATCTCTAGAGGAAGCAACAGTCGGTGTTTAAAATACTTCCATCACAGGAGCAAAATATGGCTAAACACGCATTTTGGACTTTGCCCATATTTTGGGGTTGCTGCGAGTGCAGCAAGCTATGACAGCCAGTAAGTACAGACAATGAACCCTACTGGATCAGACCAGGGTCTGTATAGCTAACAAGAAGAAAAAGAAGCCCAGGCTGGTTGTAAGGAACACGTTCAAGTGGGTGACAGCACAAGTACCCCCATCCCCTCTACGGAAATCTGGCCCAGAAGCCTCTCTCCTGATACTCCCTCCGGACAGCTTTTCCTCCTCCAATCCTGTTCACACATATTTTCTCTCCCCTCCCCTATTCTTGTCCAAGAGCTGCTGAGGAAATCCTAAACTCACCTTTCCTGCAAAGATGCAAAAGCCAAATTCTCCCTCCAGCTGGGGGTAACAAGGTAGAAGACAGGCCCTGTGGAAGTGCACATTCCATACATTTCCTTCTCCGCCTTGTGGAAAAACTGCACCTTGGCCACCTAGAAAAGGTAGGGTTGACCTCTCTGTTGCTTGCAAGTCCTTCTGGGAAATGTAGTCCCCTGAGACAGCAACACCCAAATGAAAGAAAAAATCTTAAGTATTTGGAAACACAGAACAGAAGGGTTTTTTTTTCATTTGTCGCTCTGTGGGGCAGCCTTTTGTGTGTATGAATAAATCTTCTTTCTTGTCGTATGAGATACCCTGCTTCAGTGACCTCTGTCCTCATCAGGCTCAATTACAAACTTACATTGCGGCAGTGCCAGAAGCCATTACAAGGGGAAGACTCATACCATAAGAACAAAAAAGAAACAGTGAGGATTTGTGTTCATAAGTTCAAGAGGGCCAAAGGAAGATGCCACCCCCTCCCTTCTCTTCAGTGTTCATAACAAAAGGGAAAAGAGCCTCACCCAGAGAGGCCACAGTCTCACAATTTTCCTCCATCACTTCCCAGAAGAGTTTTCGTTGGCCTGGATCAAGCACAGCCCACTCCTCCTCTGTGAAGAACACGGCTACCTCCTCAAAGGACACTGGGGATCTCTGAAAGAGGAAAATACGGCCCACTTGAGCATCTGTTTCTGTCCCTGAGCTTTCAAGAAGAAAAGAAAGACACCATCACCTGCTCAATTGATTAAAAGAATGTGAGACATCAAATACTGAGTAAGTTGGTGGAAACTGTTATTAAGGAGAGAATTAGTAGGCACACTGATGAACAAAAACTATTGAGGAAGACTCAGCATGGATTCTGTAAGGGAAGATCTTGTCTCACTAACCTGTTAGTGTTCTTTGAGGGGGTGAACAAACATGTGGACAAGGGGGACCCAACAGGTATTGTTTACCTTGACATCCAGAAAGCTTTCGATAAAGTTCCTCATCAAAGGCTCCTAAGTAAGCTCAATAGTCATGGGATAAAAGGACAAGTCCTCTTGTGGATCAAAAACTGGCTCATTAATAGAAAACAGAGTGAGTATAAATGGGCAATTTTCTCAGTGGAGGGAGGTAAGCAGTGGGGTACCGCAGGGATCAGTACTTGGTCCACGGCTTTTTAACTTGTTCATTAATGATTTGGAGTTGGGAGTAAGCAGCGAAGTGGCTAAACTTGCAGATGACACTAAATTGTTCAGGGTGGTGAGAACCAGGGAGGATTGTGAGGCACTCCAAAAAGATCTGTTGAGGATGGGCGAGTGGGTGTCAATGTGGCAAATGGGGTTCAATGTGGCCAAGTGCAAAGTGATGCACATTGGGGTCAAAAATCCTACAAGTACACGTTGAGGGGTCCGAACTGGCAGAGACTGAACAAGAGAGAGATCTTGGAGTTGTAGTAGATAACTCACTGAAAATGTCGGGACAGTGTGCAACTGCAATAAAAAAGGCCAATGCTATGCTGGGGATTATTAGGAAGGGAACTGAAAACTAATCAGCCAGTATCATAATGCCCCTGTATAAATCGATGGTGCAACCTCATTTGGAATACTATGTGCAATTCTGGTCAACACACCTCAGAAAGGATATTATAGCATTGGAAAAAGGGCAGAAAAGGGCGACCAGAATGATAAAAGGGTTGGAACACTTTCCCTATGAAGAAAGGTTAAAGCGCTTAGAGCTCTTTAGCTTGGAGAAACGATGGCTGAGGGGTGACATGATTGAGGTTTATAAGATTATGCATGGGATGGAGCAGGTAGAGAAAGAGGTACTTTTCTCCCTTTCTCACAATACAAGAACTTGTGGGCACTCAATGAAATTGCTGAGCAGTCAGGTTAGAACGGATAAAAGGAAGTACTTCTTCACCTAAAGAGTGATTAATACATGAAATTCACTGCCACAGGAGGTGATGGCAGCTACAAGCATGGACATAGATACAAACTCTCAGCCTGGGGCAAGTGATGCTCTGTATTCTTGGTGACTGGGGGGGGTGGCAACAGGGGGAGGGCTTCTAGTGTCCTGGCCCCACTGCTGGACCTCCTGATGGCACCTGGTATTTTTGGCCACTGTGTGACAGAGGGCTGAACTGGATGGGCCACTGGCCTGAGCCAACATTTGCTTCTCTTATGTTCTCATGTTCTTAACCAATGGGAAGGAAAATTGCTTTTCTGAGCCTGATAGTTATAATATGATGAAAATTTCCAAGAAATATAAATTCAGAAAATTGCACAAAACTGGGCTTCTCTTGGGCAAGTTCCATTATATTAGGAAAAAAACACCCAAAAAATCCTTATTGACAGTATACAAGTGTGTACTATACCATCCTGCACATTTAACATCACAAATGCAATAACACTGTGATCCCAGAGACGGTTCCTGCAGAAGCATTCTGTGTTACTCTGTATCCAGCTCTGTGAAAATAAGATGGCCTAATTAAGCTCCTCATATATTTTGCTCTATTTTTTTCCTAACAAACCCGAAGCCTACCCATTCCAGGCTGTGTGATCCTCAGGGTTTGGCAGGCGAGAGAGACGCAGGGCACAGAACATCCAGCACAAACAGGCCGCCTCAGCGACCTTTCCAGGTATTTGTGCCTCGTGGAATGACTGCAGTTTGCACAGCATGCCCTTGGCCTCCAAGTAAGCTAGTGCATCATCTCAACAGATTTTGGATTTCATGGAATAACAGTGGCTCAAGTGGTTAGGACGCTGAACTGCAGGCTGTGGAAGGTCAGTAGTTCAGCAGTTCGAGACCCAGGTGCCGCATGACGGAGTGAGCTCCCGTCTCTAGTTCCAGCTCCTGCCAACCTAGCAGTTCAAAAGCAAGAAATTGCAACCAGTGTTCCCTCTAAGCTGAGTTAGTGTGAGCTAGCTCACAGTTTTTAGCCTCCAGCTCACAGTTTTTTGTCTTAGCTCAGGAAGGATGGCTCCAGAGCAGGCTAATTTATGCAGGAGCCCAATCGCTCGCTCACAGCTTTAATGCCAGTAGCTCACAAAGTAGAATTTTTGCTCACAAGATTCTACAGCTTAGAGGGAACATTGATTGCAACTAGATAAATAGGTACCACTTCGGTGGGAAGGTAACAGCGTTCCGTGCGCCTTGGTGTTTAGTCATGCCGGCCACATGACTACGGAAACGTCTTCGGACAGCGCTGGCTCTTCGGCTTTGAAACGGAGATGAGCACCGCAGCCCTAGAGTCGGACTCGACTGGCTTTTGAGCAAGGGAACCTTTACCTTTAAGGCAAAGATAAACACCTTGCAGAAAACTTTCTAACTTGGGGGGGTGGGGGGATTATTTGCCTACAATAAAATGAAAGCCAGGATCTGGGAGTTGCGGTACCAAAAATGAAAGGAACGGACACAGAAAATCCCTCTGATATTTTTCAATGGAAGCGATGGTTTACTCCCGAGAAGCCAGGGAGGTGAGGGACGCACAGAGAGGGAGGGCGGAGTGGATGCCCTCCTTCACAACACAAACTTTCTGACCGGTTTCCAGCTCAGAGATCTTCTCCAGGTTGATGTTCACTGGGATCATACGCCAGAGCAACCGCATGCATTGAAAATACAAGAGCCGAATCTGGCCAAACACCTCTGTGGGGGGATAGCCTGGGGAGCGCACAAAAAAGAACACTGTGAGGGCAGCCAGCTAAAGGACCCCAGAAAGAACAGACGATGAGCCCTGCTGGATCAGACCAGAGGGGTCCCTCTACGTTTTAAAAATAAAATAAAATCAGCCCAGGCTGGTTGCAGGGAACACAGTCCAGTGGGTGAAAAAAGAAGTACCCCACCCCGATCTTGCTCAGGGGAGCTTCTCTCTCGATGCTCCCTTTGGCCACCTCTTCCTCCTCCACTCCCGTCCACACATATTTTGTCTCCCCTCCCCTCTACTTGACCAAGAGCTGCAGAGGAAACGTTAAACTCACCTTTCCTGCAGACGTACAAAACCCACACTCTCCCTCCATCCAGGGGAAACGAGAAAGAAGAGAGGCCCTGAGCGAGGAACTCTATGCCCCCCCCCCCGATTTCCTTCTCCACCTTGATGAAAAACAGCTGCCTCGAAAAGGCAGGGTTGACCTCTCTGGTGGTCGCAAGGCCTTCTGGGAAACGTAGTTGCCCGCAACCACCAGAACTGGACTGACAGACGGAAGAGGAATGTTTGGAGAAAGAGGATTTCTTTTCTCTTCAGTGGCTGTTGGGGGGGGGGGGGGGGACAGCTTCCTATGACGGCTGCACAGCTGGAGAGATCCTGAAAAAAAAAGGGGGGGAGAAAACCTTATCTGCCCAGATCTTCAGGATTTCTTAGGGCCCTTTGTTCTCTTACTGGGAACGGTACTTTTCCAGGCATCGACCTATTAAAGGGACTGAAAGTTTTTTTCCAAGAGAGGGCAGGGAAGATTCCATGTCTCTCTCACCGTATATGATGGGACCTTGAGGGCAGAGGAAGGCCTTGCCTCAAAATAGGGCTGGCTGGAGAGAATATTTCCTTCCCAACTGAGCAGGGTGAGAGTGAGCGTCCTTTCTACTCCTGCTGAGGAAACCAAGAATACAGAGCATCACTTGCCCCAGGCTGAGAGTTTGTATCTGTGTCCATGCTTGTAGCTGCCACCACCTCCTGTGGCAGTGAATTTCATGTGTTAATCACTCTTTGGGTGAAAGTTAGATACCAAGGGACTTCTGGCATTGCTGTTGTGTTTGTCCGTAATGCTTTCCATTATAAATTGATCCCACAATTTCTTAAACCAGACTTGTATTGTGGGAGGATTGGGATCTTTCCAATAAGGTCCTCTTCTTTGTGAGTGATCCTGGAAAGGGAGAGGCAGCTTGGGAAGAAATTTCCTGGTCATTTTCACCCCCCTCCCTATTCCCTGTGTTCTCTAGGAGACCCCAAGTTATTTCCTCTGGTAGCAAAGTTGATGTCCCCCGTGCCCGTCCCTACACAAGCAAAACAGGGTAGGCCAGGACAGCAAGTGATGCTGCTTCTTGTTGCACTGGTTTTCTATTTGCACAGGAAGGAACTTCTGGCATGACAGGCAGACTGCCTAGACAGGAAGGGAAACGCTGGGTTCTCCCTTCGTTGTACAAGGGGGCCAAAATCCCCAGAGACAGGGAGCAAGGGAGCTGTGTGGGTGTGTGGCCAAGGAGTCCTCACAGGGGCTGGGCAGAGAAAAGGTGCCAAGTCTGCCCACGGCCATGGGGCCAAAGGGAAGCAGCTCCTCCTTCGGCTGCTGCTGGGCTTCCCCCCCCCCCCAATGAAGGAAAGAGAAGAATTGAGTAGCCTGCCCTGAGGGAACATATTTTTGTCAGTCAAGTGTAAAAAGAACTTATCTGAGAAGAATAAGCTAATCCTACATATGAGGATTTAAATGGGGAAGAAGCTACCTGTTTCTGACAAGAAGAAATCATCATGAGTACAGCAAGCTACAGGGCCGGCAAGCAGAGAAAACAGTTCAGACTTGGAGAAAATAAAGAAATGGCTACTAGCCATGGTGATTGAAGGGAACCTCCATATTCAGAGGCAGTAAACCCCAGAATACCAGCATCAGGAAGCAGCATTTAGGGAGCACCTTGACCTCCATGCCATCTTTGTTTGACTCTCCAGGGCAGTTGGTTGGGCATTGTATGAAACAGGAGCTGGACTAGGTGTTCTGATCCAGCAGGCCTCCTCTT